GGAAAAGTTTGAGAACCACTGTTTTCTAGTCAGACCAGTGATGCAAGATCATTTTTAAGAATGGAGGTGCTGACATCCCTCCCCTTAACCCTGTCCTCCCACAACAGCTGACGTCAGGAACAAAGTCCTGGCATGCAGGGCCAGCAGCCAGGACTTGGGGCAAGTGGCTGGCAGCAGAGCCCCCACCGTGCGAGACCAAAGCAGAATCTCCACAGCACACAGAGTTGGCAGCTGGGACTCCAGGCCTGGAGTCAGCAGCAGAACCCTTGGCTCACAGGTGCTGCAGTCAAGCCTGGGGGCAGCTGAGTCTCTGGGTGCTAGGCTGGGAAACCGCGGATGGTGCAGCAACCCCCACAGTCCTAGTTCCCGCATTCTCTGACCTTCTGTATCACAGATGATCACCCTCACCCTGCACCCACACAAATAACTCCATCAACTGAATTCAGACCAAAAGTTGATAGCCCACAGGAGACTATCGGGCAGTGTCGTTGTAGTAGGTGTTGGTCCCAGGATATGAGAGTGACAAGGTGGGTAAGACCTGAAGAAAAGCTCTGGGTTAAACTCAAAAGCTTGCCTTTCTCACCATCAGAAGTTAGTCCAATAAAAGATGTCACTTTACCCATCTTGCCTCTGCCTATTAGGTGCCCCAGGCCAAGAATAGGAGGGACTGAGGTGCAAACACTCCTGTAATGGCCACAAAATGTACTCAGATAATTCTGGTAAGTGGTCTACATCTGCTGCAAAGGAAGAGGCTCTGTCAGTCTGACCTGGGGGGAAATTCCTTCACGATCCCACAAGTGGTGATCACTGAGACTCAGTATGTGAGGCAGACCAGCCTGCGGAGCTCTTGAAAGAGAACGCTTGGTGCTACTCAGAGCTTTGGCCCTCCCTCTCCACTGGACCACCTCAGCTGTCTGTGGTCACCCCGATGCTTCAAAGGAAGACAATTTAAAACAATCCACAACAAAAGCAGAAATATGAGGAGAGGGGAGCGTGACCAATGGGAGCAAAGAGCTGCCTCTGCCTAGTGGCTGGACATGCCAGCCGCTTCTAGTGCAGTGTGCAGCCAAGGCACTCAGCCCAATATAAGTGAATGGGAGTTGGAAAAGTAAGCAACTGGGGGGAGCGGGGGACTCAGAAAAGGGAAAGGGGCGAAGCTTCTGGACAGGACATGGGATGGGGCAAAGGTGTTCAGTTTTATGCAATTAGCAAGTTGGCAACCTTATTGCTTGTCTAGGCATTACTGTATAGTCCTATATTAATTTAATTTTACCCCACTGTTAAATATTTGTGTATGTGGGAGAGAAAGCATGTGAATTTGTAAGCAGAAACCAGCCTGATTTACTGTATGGGATTTTTATGAATTGGTATCTTTGATCCATTTTTATTTGAATTTCCCTGTACAAGTAGATGAAGACAAATACTTATTGTAATATTTATGAGTAGATTCTGAAGGTCGCTATGGTTTCAGAGAAAACAATAAAAATTGATACCAAACTGGATGCGCTTCAGGTTGGGAGGGCACAGGTATAGTCCATAAATTATATTAAAACTCACTCCTTTACGATGAGGTAAGTGTTGACATTAGATAATTTGGTGGGGAGTATTTATTTCTATATTTATTAAAATGTCAGTAACAGAAGGAGTAACACCTCCTAAAGGGCCTGCAGGTGCTTGTCTTAAAAAAGCACTTGAAGAGAATAAAACCCATAAATTACATTTCAAATGATTCACCATAGAATGAAAGAGAATGGATACATTCAGTGTATCAAAAAAGGAGATAAGCAAGGATCTTCCAAAGGAAGGCAAGGCTCTGAACCTGCCAAGAGTTATATTTTTGCTTAAATTTATACAGGTGATTAACTACACAGAAGTGAACAGGGCTGCTCAAAAGCAGAATGTTTGAGCATGCGCAAAGCCTAAAAAAAATACATTTGTACAGACTTAGAAACGTTTCCTATATAGCATGCTTTATTTATTCAAGGGCTGCATTTTTTACATGATCAAGTGGAGGTGACTGCTACCTGAAAAACTTAAAGCACTCAGGAGAAAAGGAAGTGGATGAAAAATATATTAGTAAAATGCATTTAATTTGCAAAGGTAGCATTTCAGAGATCAGTGCTCTAAGACACTGAAGCCCTGGATAATGACTGGAAATTAAGTATCATACCAATATAATGATGTTAGCCTTCTGTTTCTGACTATCCCCAAGTGTTCTAGCAGTCTAGTTATGTCTGACCTTGCCTGGCTCTTAGAAGAAATTGGTCAGGTCAGAATAAGATGTTAGCTTGTTCACATCACAGGGAAATACAAACTGAGGTCAAGAAAACCACAACATCTGGAACGTGAGAAAAGGATTTACTGTTAAGGGCTTAATAAACTCTGAAAATAAAGTTCTCAACTTTGCTAATTTGTTTCGGCTTCAAAGAGGAATAAAATGTGATGCTGGTAGAAGGTTTTATGGCTCTCCTGAAGAAATAAAAAGTACATCTGAGCTAAAATTAGTAAAGCATAATGACAGCAGAGATAGTGTCACATTTATCTGATGCTAGAGGAAAATGCTAAATGGTCCCTATTAGGGATTTATGTTCACATTATTGAGGGAAGAGGGGAATGATGTGTTGCTCTGGGTGCTACAGCTCAGGGAGGAAAAGATTTGGAGAGAGAGCTGCATAGAGGTGTATACACTTAGGATGTTAAAATATGGTTAATTGACTAGTCGACGGAATGTCTATTAACTAGTCGACTAGTCGATAGGCACTTCTGCATTCCTCCTTTGAAATGTACAAGAGCCCCCGCTTGTACATTTCAAAGGAGGAATGCAGAACTCCGCATACAGCCCAGGGCCAGCAGGAAGTCCTGCTGACTCCTGGCTGCACACGGCTTGCCTGCTTTGAAATGCACAAGACTAACCAATGGGGCCTCTTGTGTATTTCAAAGCCATAGAGCCCAGGGTCAGCGGGGAACTCACAGTCCCCCGCTGACCCTAAGCTCCATGGTACACAGAATGCCACTAGGAGCCCGGGGTCAGCTGGGGAGTCCCCAGCTGACCCCGGGCTCCACTGCCCCTTTAAAACAGGTGGAGATGGAAGTTTCACAGGGGAAGCCATGGAGCCCAGGGTGAGCTGGGGACCCGGGCTCCATGGCTGCCCCTTTGAAAGGTGCACAGGAAGCATTTTAAAGAGGCAGCCACCGCACAGCTGATCCGCGGATCAGCTGTGCAGCGGCTGCTTTTAAAAAGCCGCCTTGGGGTTTCAAAGTGGCAGCGCTACTGTGCAGCACTGCCACTTTGAAGTACTCCTTCCCCCCGCCTTTGCTGCCTCTGTCTCATAGATATCGACTAGTCAACTAGCTAATGCTTATTGGATAGTCAACTAGCCTTTTACATCCTTAGTGTGCACCCCTGCAGAAAACAGAACCCAGGCTGTTGCCGCTCAACCAGGACGTGGGGCAAGAATTAATCACGAGGCAGATCTCCTAGTCATTCCAAGGCATACAACTCCGAGGCTACTCCAGCTTTAGGCTTGAGTCATGCCTATAAAGTTGCTTTAATTCTTCACACCCCCAGCTCCCAGGAACAACCATGTAGCCCACCTGGGGTCTGGCCTTTGGAGCAGGTTGAGTTCCACAGTAGGATAGGTCATGCACAATAAATAGGAACCGCAAAGTACCGAATAGTTCAGCTAAGGCCTTAGGGCCCAATTCTGGCAGGCACTAAGCATTCTGGCCCTTATCCCTCAGAGCACTTTAGTAAGTGCTTAATTTTAAAATGAAGACACCCCTGACTTCAGAATTAAAGCACTTGGCAGGACTGAATCCTCAGGCCTGATTCTCCCATCATCTTCATTAATGTAAATCAGGGAAAACCCCATTCAAGACAATGGCATGTTAGCACTGTAAAGCCACTGGAAGTGAGTGGAGAATTCAGCCGTTAGTGAGATAAATCGGAACAGGTGATTGAAAATACTGGCATCCATTCTCTCCACTAGGGGATAGCCAGCCTCTGCCTGACCTATGCTCTTGTAAATTACAATCATTTTGAGGGTTCAGTCCCTTAGAGGTTAAAGAAACCAGAGCCCTGCCAGAAGGGAAAATATGGTTTACCTGACAGGCAATTGCATTGAGGTTTTGGTAGCATTAGTAACCTTTAATCCTCAGCCATTCACACAAAATTCTGCAGGCAGGTCTTATTTAGGCAAAATATTCATCTTTACATTACCATTGTCTTAGTTTGAAAAACATGGGAGAAGACTAAGGGGGTATCTGACATCTAGGAAATGGGATGCAAATCCTGCTCCTATTGGCATAGAGACTGTGGACGTACCACAAGTCGGGTAACCCAATAACAAGTGTGAAAAAATTATCTGTGCTGGGAATTTGTCTGTATTCCAGCCACTGACAGCCAAGTACTGAAATAGCTGCACCAGAGTAAACTCCAAGCACAGACAGAAATGCAACTTCAGTTTGAAACCAGGGAAAGTTCCATGGGTGAAAAACTTGGCTTTCCTACACTGCAGCTACATCCATTGCCAGTTAATAGCCAATGCAGACAAAGCCACAACAACAATAATAATAAACACCTAGCTCTTCTTATCGATAGATTTCAAAGCACCATCCAAAGAAGCATCATTGTCTCCATTTGACATGTGGGAAAAATGAGACATAGGGAGGTCAAATGACTTGTCTAAAGTCACCCACCTGACTAATCAGGAATACAACCCGACCCTCCCAAGTCTGATTCCAGCACTCTATCCACTAGGCAACACTGCCTTTCCTCCTGCCTAAGGAAGAGAGAGAAAGGCTCTCAGGAGTCAGGAGTCCAACAAGAATGCCCCTGACCTGCCAGTCAATGCACTACAGCCCTAGTAATAGCTGGTATGGGGAAGCTTGCGGGAGGCAACACAATCTAATCCTCTCCATACACTGCTGTTAAGTAATACAGCATTTTGTGGGTCACAAATATCAGTCACATTATTTAGCAATACATTTCCATATCTTACCATACTAGGCAAAGAGTTTGTCTTGAACAGCCAGAAAGAGAGAAATAAGATGAACAGGCATTTTTTATGAATTGTATTCAGGCCTGGCACTGAATAAGGACAAATTGCTCAGCGCACTGCTGCAATTTAGTGGGTGTTACTTAGGGTTGGGACCAGATTGGTTGCTTAGGAACCAATTGGGCCATATCACCAAAAAAGGAAGGAGAAGGTGGTTATGAGTACACTCAGCAGTGCCAAAGCCTAATTTCATTTAGAACTGATCTTGGATGATGTGTAACATACACACACGCACAGTACAGACAAAGAGGGATAATATGTGTTTGTGTGTTTTGGGGAGTCCAAGGTCTTCTCTGAGTGAAATCATTAGTTTACAGTTAAAAATTGAGGAATTCTACATATCTTCTAGCTCACAGTTATTGATTGTAAAATAATTATTTCCTCAAGAAAGGGCTTTAATTCTTCTAGCTAACAGTACTGTTACATCTGTTTGCAGTAAATATTTCAAAGTGATGTGGGTGAAAAAAACCTTACATGAGTTCCATACAGCTCTGTCCAAACTTATGTTTATAAAATATTTGGGGAAGATTAATTGAAGTACGGATTAAAATGTAATATTATTGCCAAGAATGTTACTGAAAATACTGAAACTATCTCTTTAAATCATCCTCCTTTGGTCTGGTTCAGATAGTTTCAGTGAAAGGGATTTCAGTTAAATGTGACCAGGACTTTTTATTTATTTCTCCTCTCCCTTTCCTTCACCCCCATTCCCTTTCACTCTCTCAAAATAGCAAAAATTGACCATTAACTAAGGATTAGCTCATACATTAAACAACGTAGTAAAATATTTTATGGCACTACTTCCAGCAGTTTAAAATACTACAGTTCAAGCTATGAGAAATAATTAAAAAAAGATAAAATAGAAATGTTGATGTCTCTTTAAACAATAAAAATTTACAACAGATTGCAAAATGACAAAAGCTGATATTTACCGTGAAATTTCTCACCTATTTGAAGTATGAAATATAGTAAGTAATTAGCTCATAATAATTACCTAATCCTTATTATTTTGCTTTTAGAATATTTATTTAAGCTTAGGTTACTAAAATTTCAAATAATAGTGGGGGCTGCTGTCATGGCTCTTTATCCAAATGAATCGTAGTCTCTTGTAAACAGTTCTGTGATCTGATTTCCATTGGGACAGAAGTTGTAAAAGGCCAGGGATTTGCAATGGATTTACACGTATACTGTTTCAGTTAAGTTACCAAGGTCGACTTAACAGCCCTTTTCCTCAGAGTCTTAAATACATTTGCCACCCAGCTTCTTTATACCACATTCAAAGGAACGGGCAGTGTGATTGTAAAGGATGCTTGAACTTCAGTGAAAACTCCAATTTACATTCTTTTAATAGTCGGTGGGATTTTTTTTAATGAGCTTTGTTGCATTGTTAGAAAACTGGTTCTTGCTAATATAGAGGCACATGATAAGGACACAGATTTCTCTGAGTTTTGAGAAGGTCATTCTACTTTCATGATGTTAGAAAGCACTAGAGTATAATTCTTGTAACAACATTGCATCAGTGATATTAGCACAGTGCTCTGAAGTCCTAGTCCTCAAGAAAAATAGATCAGAATGGTGACCTGCTATAATAGATAGGCCTTTTTAAAGGAAAGTAACTCTAGACTAAATCCAGAACAAATATTAAGGTGGTTCTATTCACTTCTCTTTTCAGGGAGGTTTAAATACTTTGAGTTATGATGATTAGATAGAAATGAACTGATAATAAAGGTAAGTAAGGTTCATAGTTAATCCACAATTCTAAATGACTGGGTTGATTGTCTTATTCACTTGGCAAACAATTTCTTGTCTAAATGTTATTTCAGCCAAAGGTATAATTTCTTTAACACAGCAGACAGAATCAGATTAAAATATAATACAGAAGCAGCACTTACCTCAGACTGATTAATATGCTTAAGCTGTTACCATGCCACCATTCTTAAAAGCATGAAGATACGCTTTTCTACGCTAGTCTATATATATTGATACCTCCTGTGTGCCAGGAAAACCTCTTTGATTATTCACACTAAACCACTGCTTAAGTGGGATGAATTTCTCAGACTTGCACTTTTCATAATCAAGTAATAAATTCTAGGACTAATCATAGGCAGCACTGTCTTTCCCATGTGATGTGAAAAAGGATTCATCAGGAGTTTCTCTAACCCTATTAAAAATAAATCACATAAGTAATTAAAGATGCATGCTTAAACTCAAATAAAAGTTCAGTTCATAGAGTTGTAATGGAGACTGAAATCTATGTAGTGCTCTACTTAGCCCTGGTCTACACTAGGACTTTATTCCAAAATAACTATCCCACCAAGTCGAATTTATAAGTGGCGCATCCACACTACCAAGACTGTTATTTCAAAATAACAGGCAGCGGAATTCAAAATCTGTACTCCTGCATCAGGAGTAATGCTAATTCCAAAATAGTTATTTGGAAATAAAGGTAGTGTGGATGCTACAAGACCGCTATTTTGAAATAATCACTCCTCAGAGTAATTCAAAGTAATTACTCCCCAGTGCTTCCTGGGGCTCTAAGTCCAAGGTAGCACGTCCATATTAATGGAGCCTGCCTCAGACTAATTTTGAGGCTTCCCCACAGTGTGGATACGCTAGTTCAATGTTGTTAAATTGTGAGTTATTAAGTTGAATTTAGTAATTTCAAAATACTTTCCTAATATAGACATGGCCTTAGAGACATCCTATTGCAAGCTGTATTGTTACAAATTTCAGTACAAAATGAACTTCTTCCAGATTCAGTTTTTATTAAAGTACATTGCATTAAACTGTGCTCTTCTTTCAAATAAGGACTGTCCAACAGGTAAAAATGAAGTCCCTTTGAGATTAGGGTAGTATTTTTCTTTATTTGGCAGCCAGACTAGGATTGTCTAAGGATGGAAGTGCACTGTTGTTTTACAATCAAGAAGATTTCCTTTATCTATGTGGCATCTTTAGAACAATCCGCTTTGAACAAGTGACGTCTGAGCTGAGCTTTGAACTTGCAATGAATACATAAAACTATAAGATCTACAGACTATTCTCCAGCGCTCTGCAGCCCTAAATGACAACATTCTTTAAAACTGTGCATGAAATGTAATCTAATTCTTTTGTACTCGTGTTACCTTACTCTTGGCTTAAACATTGCATTTTTAAGCCAAACTGCAAACTAATCTATCATAAAGACCCTTCCAGGTGAGATTTATTATAGATCACTTTCTAGTCAGTGTGCTCTATGTGCATGTATATACCCATATTCATCTTATTATTATCCAGCTGAAAAATTCCCAGTGTGTGCAACGCCTCAGATATAATAGCAGGCATGCCAACAGAATATGACACTTATGCTAATCTGCACCCTGCTGTGGAAAAACATACACAAGGATTCCATTACCACATTCATTAGGCTGCAGTGCACTTCATCTTGAATAGGGATTATGATCTATAATAGACTGAAAACAGTTGACTGAACCCACTTAGACAAATCTCTATGACATTAGCCAAATATTTCAGGATAAGAAAGAGTAGGAGTTCAATCTTTTCATAGTTGTGTACGTCTTCTTTTAAAAAAAAAAAAAAAGTTCAGACGTGTCAAATTTAAAAAAAGTGAAGGTCAGGATAACATTTTGTGCTGATATGGTGCTTTACATTTCCAAGATGCAGGACAAATATAACTAAAAAGAATGTGGCATAGCCATTATTGGGGCAGGTGGGGGCTTTTTGTATATGGGTATTATCTAGTGTTGGCTTTGGAAAGACTTCTCGAAGGTTATCAAATTCTCTGTGCACCTGTTATAAAGCTTTTTGGCACCTGAAAAAGAGATGTCTATGCTGATTGCACATGCAGAGTGGGCTTACAGTGACATCCTTATGCAGGTTAAATGGTAATTTGAATCTGATGAAAAAAATATGTTGTCCAGTTCTGTATTCTAGTTTCCTAAATATGCTTTGAGTGTATATTCAATTTTTGGTTCTGTGGGATACAGTTGCTGCCTGACAGCCTGTCTTTGTTGGCATAAAACTGAAGTCAAAGTATTTAAAGTATTGTCAGAAATAATAAAGAATGGAATATAAATCAGTGCTCTGGAAATGCTATGGAATTTGGTCATGACCAACAGGGGAAAAAAGGGAATTAAATCTCCTCCATGTATAAGATTCAAAAGATAATAATAAAAACCGTCTGTGCTTAACATTTTCTCATTGCTAGGAATCTCTTGTTTATGTAGTTCCTTTTAATGCAGCAACTAAACAGGAAGTTCCTGTTAGCAGCCCCATGATGTAAGTAAAAGGACAATATCTGAAAAAGAGCTGCAGATCAGGAATTGCACAGAGCTTAAAGAAAGAAAGAAAGAAAGAAAGAAAGAAAGAAAGAAAGAAAGAAAGAAAGAAAGAAAGAAAGAAAGAAAGAAAGAAAGAAACTACTTAAATAATGTAATGTATTCAGTATTTTCAAACCTCATTTTTCTTTAATTCCTATGTCCCTTCTCAGAGGTACATACTGATCTCAGTAATACTAGTGTAAGTCTGGAATTAGTCCACGCTGGTGTAAGCAACAACACAATCTGGTCTATTATCCTTAGGGAAAACTAATGACTTCTGGATTTGGCACTATTCTGCAGGAGGAAAAATATTTTTAGAAGGCTGTCCTCCTGGTTTTCTAACTCTTTCTCTGAAAATGAATAATTGTTCTTCTGAATGCCTAGAGTTCCTCTGATCTTTAAGATGCTGAGCACCACCTAAGAAGCTGACTTCACAGTTATCAGACACTTTGATTGTGGTCTCAATATTCCTTGAAAGATTTTTATGATTTAGTCCAACAGGAGCCAGTTTGGGCCCAATATAAAAATATTCAGAGGAAAAACAACAAATATTTCTGTAAACACTTAAAGGAAACAGAACTCCCAGAGTCTGTATGAAGAAAACAGTCTTAACTAAGTAAAAAAAGCACTTAATTTGCCAGCGAGGAAGGACAAACTTCTGGGATGATTTTATTTTTTTATTTGTATTGTGGCCTGGCTTATATTTTT